CACATTGTCATGTTGACAGCCCCATATAGTAATGTAGCTGACTTCATCAATAGAAAACTTACCATTAATTCATGTCATCTGTGATCATTAGTATCACAGTTTAGAAATCTGCAGGGGTACCCTGGGAGCTGTCATGAAGCCTATATTTTTGATATATACTTAGGTTCAGGGACCGGATGTCTTACAAGGATGGTTGTTGGAAGACAAGGGCTACCCTCTGCAACCATGGTTGATGATTCCATTACTCAACCCCCGAGTGAGGAGCAGTATACATACAATGCAGCCTATTCTTCAGTCAATGCCAGTGTGGAGTAGATGATAGGCTTCCTGAAAATGAAGTTCCAATGCTTAAATCAATCTGGCAGAGCCTTAGAGTACAATCCAACCCAAATGTGCCACATTTGCATGCTGCAATTTTAGCAGGCAAAGAGGGGATGTGATAGACACTGAAGAGTTGGTGAGAAGGACAATCAGGACATTGAGCAGGATGAACATCAACTGCATCACAGTTACAATCACAGTTGGTCAGACCAGGTGATAATTTAAAGTGCCAATATATTTACAAATATGATAGTCTATTTACCAGTGTCACCTAGGTACCCAGTTTTGGTTCCTTTCCACTCTATCTGCTGTGAAGGCTTTTTCTTGGCTTTTGACCTGGTCCATGGCTGAGCTATAAATATGGTGCCAGTAGCAGAGAACCCATAAGGACCTGGCAGTATTTCAGTTGCTGGTGAATGCAAGCTCGCACGAGAGCACAGCTTTAGAGATATGGTGCAGCAATGTGGAGCTGCGTGAGATAACTCATCAGAGCTCATGGAGAGAAACCCTCCATGAAATCCGTGAAATTGATACTTAGATGATTTTTAAGAAAATTCAGCTCTTTAGTTTACGTACTTCAAATTGAACAGAGACATACTCTCATGAAGGAATAGAACATTAATCAATGAACAAAATCAAGCTTTATTGAATATAATCAAGCCAAACAATACACTCATCAAATAATGAAAGAATATTTTAGCAACCAACAAAAAAAACACAAAAGTTAAACTTATCAGGAAAGCGTCATAGACTTCAAATTGAATATCCCAAAACCTATATCACAGGTGGGAAATGTTTTCCTTTCATGAGACAAAACACCTCCAGTTTTCATGTTGACAGTAATCCCTGCTATCTTCCCCTGAAAATTATCCTCATTTTGATCATTCTGAATCCCTGCCTGAGGTAGGTCTACAATCTGACTGCTGTGGTGTACCTGGAGAACTCAAAAATATGGCACTTGAGACCCTCTTTTTATACCTTCTTAGTTAAAGGTTGCTGCTGAAATTCTAATTTGTTAATAATGTGGTCATCATCAATTTGATTGCAATGTGTCCATGTGCACACATCGTCTTTTACTTGAAGACAATGGAGTGTTTTACAATGTTCACTTTATCTGAAACTTGACCAAGCCTTTATTCATTAGTAGCCCTACTGTCTGAATCTCGAGGGTAACACTGTTGATGAGACACTGGAGGTGCTCTGCCTAGGGCTTTCCCACAGTCTGTTTTAACAACTTTTTTTTAAAAAATGCATAAAGTAATGTAATCAGTTGAAATTAACTTTATAAAGGCAGCCTTTATTGGCTTCTGATTACTAATTACATATCCTTCAATACAGCATAATTAAGGTCCTTTTTTTTAATGAATTGACTGTTGTTGGTCGGGTTGCTACTTATAATTCCAGTTTGTTAGTGTTCCGCATTCATTAGTGTGGTTGTGTGGCAACACAAGATTACTTTTTGTTTTGTTAGCTTAGCAGAATATATACATTCATAAAAAGCATCTTAAAATGACCAAAATTAAGCAAACCAAATGTTGAACTTAAAATTCTAAAATCCAAGATTACTTACAGCATCTTAGAATTTGTAGCAACTCTCAGCTGCATTGACTATATCTCACAACTTGGTGCTAGCCATACATTTTGACAATGTTCTTCTCTGTCCTGTGACCAGTTCGGTTTTCTAAATGGTGAACAAGATTGGACCTAGACAATCTTGGTGAAACATCCCCTTACCGCTTACCTGAGTGACTACTTTTAACCACTGCTCTGTTTTCTGTTTTCTAGGTAGTTATGTTATACGTTCTATTATGTTTCCTCTGACTCTACATTCTCTGACCTTAGTCACAATCCTAAAATGCAACAGGTTGCCAAAGGAAATCATCTGACTCAGTTAGGATCTGCATTCTCAACTTAATTGAATGAGTTAATTTTACTTCTAGGTTTTGAACTTCCAAACTGTGCAGTGGGTATGATGCTTGCCTGCATAGAATAAGCCAAACTGCATTTAAAGGGCCAGTTCCACAATGGAAATTGGATGTGTTCAGGAACCTGACTTAATCATGCCATGCTGGAGTTACAGCGAGGTGCAGTCCAAAGCAAGCGTACTTAATTTTCTCCAACAACGGATGAAGAAACCTGCTATTCTCACCAAGATAATGTAGTTGGAGACAGCTAAGGAAGGTGATCAATAAAACAGCATTGTGTCCATGTCATAGACACAATGTAGAAAGCAGTCTAATGGCTTACGTAGGTAAAAAAAATTAGTATACTTGTTGATTCACATAGATCTTCTTCTTTAAGTTTGCTTTTCTTTTGTTTTGGTTTGCAAAGTGTTCTCCATCACATGAATCTTCACACTCATTTAATTTGCAGAGGCATCCAGCTTTAGTTTTCTACATAATTTAACACCTCCCCATTCACCCAGCCACCAGTGTCAAGCATCTCATTCCTTATGTAGTGTGATGCATGTGTTTCATTGTCATCCTCACTGAATGCAATACATCCATTTAACAAATGCTTCACCCTTACTCTGCTCTTTCACCCACCCCTTGTGGAGAGCTGCACAAAATGCACAGGAAGAGAAATAGAACTGTAGATGGCTTGCCACAAACAAGATAGCTCACAAATGCAAAGGTGGATTCTATGAAAATAAATCATATATCTGTATCCCTCTCAGTCAGAGTTTGAGACTGGTTGATATCCCCATTAAGCATGTGCTGCCTCCATTCTAACAATGACTAAACTATGAGAAGTCTGAGTACTGTGATAGAGTTGTGACATTGCTTCAACTGAATCACCTCCCTATAAAGAAAATGAGAAAGTAAAAAATAGGAGACATTACCTTCTGAGTGTTCTCCACTAATCAAGAAGATTACTGCTGATCTCTGACCTCAATTCTAATTTCCCACTAGATCCCTAAATGCATTGTTTCCATTGCAGTCTAAAATCTATCTACCTCAGCCTTGAGTATACTCAATATTCAATACTCTGGGATACAGAATTCTTGTTACAATTGTTCAGAGCTTCATTAAGGCCCATGCCCCTTCTCCCGTTGATGAGCAACGAAGTCCCTTCTCTTCCAACTACAAAATATCCTCTGGGGAGATGGATAGTGATAGTCTTCCCATTACAAGCCCATTCAAGGTGCCTGGGAGAGAGGAGGGAATACAAGAGGAAGATGCAACTGATTTTACTGACAGGACCAAAGACAAATTCCTGAACAAGGAATTGCTGAGCAAGTCAACTCGATCAGTTCCTTTCAATTTGGAAAAAGAGACTAAACATGTTTGTAAAAGTCTGTCAGTCCAGCCCAATCCAGTTTGGGAGGGAGCCTCAACAGGCTAGGAGAAACTCACTAACATCAAGCCCAGAGCCAGTCAATGAAAATAAAACAGAAAGCTGAGCAGAAAAGTTACATGCTCTTTTTAATAGGACGAGTGTGAAGTATTTATATTCCTTGTGAGGCAGTATGGTACAAGTTAGGTTAAAGTGAAATGTAATTCTAAACTGCTATTCTGTATGTTCATTTGCTGTCCATTAACTTTAAGGCAATTACTCCTCTCGGGCCTCCTCTCACTAAAGTATTTTTGTTGAAAAATAGATAGGCACAAATGAAAGCTGTAATTCCAGGTTCTAAGGGGACCTTATTATTTTTCCTGTTGTTGTATGATTAGATATTGGAATATTTCTGAATATAAGACACTTGAAACACTTGTGTGATCAGTGCTGTCAAAGCAAACACAATTGCTGGAATCGTAAGACAACACAGTACGGGGGATGTAAGACCAGCTGTCCATTACTAGCCCAACGCAACTTTTCTTTCCACTGAAACACATGCCTTTCAGGGAATGGATTTACCAGATGCCTACCTTATTTGTATGACAATGTTACTCCAGTGCTAGGCAAGTGGGTGGATTTTACACCCATCCCATCCCTGGGGGATCATGCTTTCGACTTTGAGAGGACGGCATGTAAAAGATTACAAGTGGCCATCCCACTGCCGTCCTCCCCACTCCTGAGTCAGTCGCCAAGCTACGGTAACGAGCCAGGAGCCGAGATTGACTTCTGGACACTTCTTAAATTAACAGGTAATTGAGCTCATTAACAAGCAATACCCTAATGATATACCGCCCTCACCAGAAAATGGTAGGCATGGGGGTGGGCAGATGAGAATCAGAAGGCCATTTCTAAAAAAAAAAGCTGTGGAAAAGGCAAGCAGGCAATGTGCAAACTTAGGAGGAGGGGTGGTGCACTCTGTGTGCGTTGGGGACACTTTCCACACAAGATGTTCCCTCCCCTTGATCCCCTCATCTTGCCTTCAAAAGCCCATTCACACCATTCCCATCTGAAGGTCCCCAATCCCTGTTGTGCCTGAGAAGTGTGGGAATGGCCTTAAACCAATATCCATCAATCTTCTTCCCAACCTCACAGTCCCGCTAGTGACATTTGGCGCTGTTAGCCTGACTCTCACCTGGTTATGCCTGACCACAGTGAATTATGATTTCGGGTGGCCTTGTTGAGCATCACACGATGTGGCATTGAATTTTCCTTGTGGGATCAGAAAAGCAGTATACAGTATCCTGTAAATTTAAGCCCTGTTGTCTCCCAATATCCTCAGAGAAGTAAGGGAAATGTAAATCATAAATATCGCCTTACCTAAAAGCTTCTTTGCCTTGAAATAATGTTTAAATTGCACTTTATAGATTTCTGTGTAAAATCAAATGCAAAATAACATATTTTTAAGGTGACAGGAGAAAGATTTAAAAAAGACATCAGGGGCAATGTTTTTACACAGAGAGTGGTCCAGGTGTGAAATTAACTTCCAGAGAAAGGTGGATGCAAGTACAGTTACAACATTTAAAAGACAGTTAGATAAGTACATGAATAAGAAATGTTTGGAGGGATAAGGGCCAAGCGCAGGGAGGTGGGGCTAGTTCCTTTTGGGATTATGACCAGCGTGAACTGGTTATACTGAAGGGTCTGTTTCCATGCTGTCTGAATCGATGACTCTATAACTGAGGTTGGCCAGTGCAAATATAGCAATAGCCAAGTAGCTCCCTTTACCTGCTCTACAATAATTCCCTAATCAATCTGGATGCTCAGCATCATTCACTTTTCTCTGTACGGAATGGAGTGAAACATGCTGTTGATCTTGCTCTATGGCTGTTCAAGTTAATGATTAGTAAAAGCCCATCACTTTCATTCATTTAGATGGGAAAGTGTCATCATGTGATTTTCAACGTTACGGTCTGGGCAATAACTTAGCAGGACAGAGTGCTGGCTGTTTCAGACAGCAGTGAAAGATTAGCACATGGGGAAGTTGAAAATGACCCTGCAGTCTCAGGTGCTGGTATTCTACAATTGTGTCAGGGTGCAAAGGAAAATAAATATTAGGGCCCTGCATATTATTTTTTAGCATTTTAAAAATACACTGTTCAATGATGTGCATCACATCAGCTGAACATAATACAGTTTGCTTACTACTTCATTCCAGTGAAAACGGCACATGGCTCATCTACATATGCGAGTCAAAATGAATAGCATGAGCAATATAATTTCATAAGAGATTGGTGCCATTGATGCAGTATATTGAATAAAGGATTGAAATGTATTTCAGCAGTTCAATTTCACCAATGTATGAAGTCAAGTTTGTTCAATGCCACAATATCTCTCAATTACATGAACAGCATTTTTGAAGACCACTTCCTTTGAGGCACTAGCATCGACCACAACACAAGCTGGATTCTCCATTCTTCTGTAAGTTGCTTCCACCCTATTGTGCAAGAGATTAGAAGTGCATTAAAAAAAAGGTCAAAACAGTCCTTGGTACAAGCTACACAATTTGTTTCAGGAGCTTAATTTATGTTACAAGTGAGTAACCTGAAATACCGGTCTCCATTTCTCCTTCAGTATTTGAACTCAGCATCTAAGTGACTACAGCAAGTGACACTTACTGAGTCTCACTAATGATTACAGGGGGTCTTCTGGTCTCTTCCTGAGGTTAGTGCAGACCAGATACGTAGAGTGCATCTTATAAAAGGGCATTGTATTTTTAATAAATCATTAGAAACAAAATTAGTTGGCATAGGCACAATGGCTGAACTGCTGCCTTCTCAGCTGTATAATTTTATGATTAGCTATTCCATAAACTTCAGTGTGAACAGTTTCCTTCTATAATATAATCTCCTGCGCTACTGCTCACAGATGTCTGAAATACAGCTTTTCTTTTTGTCCAGGTGAATGGATCCAGTTTCCCACTCACATCCAGCTGCCACTGTTGGAGTTGAGGGTCATGCTGAGCTAGCAGCTTCCACAGCACTCTGGAGCAATCCCAATTGTAGAAACATTTCAACGAGAAAGCAAACATACCAAAACCGGTCTCCTTTCTCTGATCAATATTCCAAAAGGTTTACTTTACACTAAATTAAGATCCAGCTTCTTGGTTGACTTCAGAGATGTTAGTCAATAAATGGAATAAATGCTGTCAATTTACACAGAAATGCTTTGTCAAAAGATGCATTGATAAGTGTCAGTATATCTGGTGTCTTAAATATTACAATTATAACAACAAATATTTAACTTAACAATGTCCTAACACTGTGCAATACTGGAAGGTAAACAGGAACTAAAGGAATTGGGGCAGGGAAAGAGTCAGAGAAGCAGAAGACACAAATTTTTGGATAAGAAAATATGGAAGTGTTCAAAAACAAGAATACAAATCATGAAATACTGGAACTTCTTTGTTGGTCACTGATGAATTAAAATCTAAAGACGAATTAAGTTTCTTGGAGGAAAAGATGATGGGTTTTGGGGAGGGATGTGGAGAGTCAGATGAAGCACTTAGTTTTCAAAAAAAAAAGTCAAAAGATGCTACCTTGTCTCCTTATTCCTTACTTTCAAGTAAAAGCTATCTTACTTTTGTCGAAATATACTGTTTGCTTCCAGCTCAATTTCTTCCTTTGTTCTCAGCTCTCCTCTTCGTTCTAGCCGACGGACTCTCTCCTCTGCATCAACTGTGAGCAACAGCACCAAATCTGGTTGAACTAGATCCTGGGGCCACTGGTATAATTCATGATGTGGTGGTGGCAGGTTCTCTAATCTTCCACTGACTTCTGTCGCAATAGCATAGGCTGCAGTGCTGTGCCAGAATCTGGAATGTAACAAAATATACTCAAAACCTTATGAAGACACACAGTATCTACAAACAGTGAGTTAAGCTTTGATACCTTGTGGAAAAAGAAACAATAACTTATGAAATGTATAAACATACCAAAACTGGTCTCTTTTCTCTAACCAAAATTCTAAAAGGTTTACTTTACACTGAATTAAGGTCCAGTTTCTTTTTTGGCTTTATAGAGGTTAGTCAGTCAATGGAAAAATATATTTACACACAAATGCCTTGTCAAAAGATGCATTGATAAGTGTCAGTATATCTAATCATGTAACCTCTTAAATTAAAAGACAAGACAAACAACAAATAATACATAGTACATTTTGAAAATTGCATTGGATTGATTTTTTAATGGCTACTTTTTGAGGATGAGTTCATCAGCAAATAGTATTAAATTATCTTGTGAAATTGCAACTTCTGATCCAAGGAATAATAAAGTTATCAAGAAAATTCCTCTTGAGTACCCTGGCCAAAGACTGATCTGAACAAAAGTGGAAGGACCTTCACCACTGGTAGAGCAAGGAGACATCGCAAAGGCACCAGGTTCAAACTCCATGCTCTTGGTACTAGTCTTTCTAACAAATGTCAACGACAGCAGTAAGAGTGGGAAAGCTCAGTGCTCGGTCAGGTGATGGAAGGAAATTGGAGCCTCTACTATTACTGCCCATAGCTCCATCTACAACACAGCTGGAAGAATGTATATTGCCATAGTAATTCAGATTTCAGGGGGACCTAGATGGCTCAGTTATCTGCTTGGCTTGTTTTGATCAGAATGGTGCTAAAAACACATGTTCACTCCCCATTCTGCCTGGGGATAGATTCAGGACCTACGTCATCAAGCTACCCAAGGTTGAGACCATGTGCTGTGAGTCGGATCCATCATTGAGCAGGGAACCGAAGCAGAATTCTTTAAGGGTTACATATAACTACAGAGAGAAGTTGAAGTGTAAACATAGTTCCCTGGGGGAAACCATTGTCACAGCCTACTAATTTGAGTCTATGTACCCACTATCCTTATCTTCAATATCCTCTTTTACCCTGCTAATCAGTTACTTACCGAGGTCAACAGGTTGTTTCCAATCCCACTTGTTCCCATTTTTGTTAAATCTCTTAAGTGGAAACTTATCGATTTCTTTTCTGAAAGTATGCATCAATAACATCCACAGACACTCAGCTGCCAAGTTACTTACATCAGAAACTTTGATCAGAATCATTCAAGATGACTGATCATTAATGCTGGCTCCCTCTAATCAGTTCATGTTTATTAATCCCTCTGCTCCTAATCATACATTTTTCAAACTCCCCCACAGCACATGTTAGATTAATGGAATAAAATGGTAACAACAGAGAATGAGGCCATTGGACCCACCAAGTCCATGCTAACTCACTGCAAATGAAGTATTTAATCACTCTCCCCTCACTTTGGCCCATAGCCCTGCAACTACTTGTTTACCTTTCAGCACTTAACTCCCTTTACAAAGCGATGATTGAATCTACGCCCACCACCCTTTCAGATAGTGCAATGCAGAACATCGCAATTTGTTGCATAAAATATTCCTCATGTTGCACTTGACTCTTTTGCTTCCAATCACTTTAAATTTGCATTTTCTGGCTCAAGATCATTATGCTAATAGGCACAGTTTATCTCCAAATATACTGCCGTGATCCCTTGAGTTTTTTGAACATTTTTTTGTAAGATAACAGGCCAACCACTTCTCTTCTTTCATTCCTAAATTATTGAGAAAAATGCAATGCAAGAGGTCAAATCCTGGAATGAGAGTTCTGGAAGATCACAATTAGCGATTTTTCAATTTCTTCATTCATTCTTAATATCCTGTAATGGAAGTCATAAAAGTTGAGATTTGTCTGTTTTTCATCTCGTTGGTTCCTTCACGATTGTGTTTTCACCAATATTAATACAGTGAATTTCTCAGCGTGATTTACTTTAACTTTTCCTCATAACTCCTTTTATCTTCATCCTCTACTATGAAGACGCATTCAAAGTACTTAGCAAGTGTACCCTGTCTTATTTTCAATTAAAGTATTACCTGTGTGTGTGCTTAAAAGCTCCACACAGATCATGCACCTGATGTTCTCTGAAATAGTGTCATGGGAGCTTTTGTATCAGTGCTTCAAACATTTTCCCACTGTAACCCCATTTCAAGGCTTGAAAATTGTCACAATCCCTCAGAGTGGTGAGATGGTGGAGGAGAAGCCATATGAGAGGGGAGTGGAAACAGACATTTCTATCTCAGAGCTCGTGATTCCAAATATTCAGCTTAACCTGGGGTCCCAACCCCACTTCGGGAAGCCCTGTTTTACAACTCATGGCTCATTTCTGTGGTAGGCAGAATATCTCTTCAGATAGGTGGGTTTTATACAGTCCCACACAATATAAAGCTGGTTTTATCAGCAATCTTTTGTAAATGGATCCAAGCCATTTGCACACTGTGCAAGCTCAATGCCAAAATAATGCTCAGCCTGAGCTATTCCATGTGATAATGGATCCCCCCAGGTCATTGCTTGCTGTGTATTGTGCTCACTCACAAGTACGTCTAAGGCCAACATTTTTGGAATTCAAGTTACCCTGCAAAGGTATGGTATCTCAATAATTTGAGCAGCAGATAAAGCTAGCCATTTCGTGCCACTGCTGGGCAATAGCAACACAAATGATATTTTTTACTAATAAGAAGCTGCTGTCAAGCCAAACAAATGTTCTAACTACCACACGAATGAGTAAGAAACTACAAAGAGTTGTGAACATAGCCAGTCCACCAAGCAAGCCAACCTTTCAACAATTGACTTCGTCTATACTTCCTGCTGTCTCAGGAAGGCAGCCAATATAATCAAAGACCCCTTCCACCCCAGCTATAATCTCTTTCAACCTTTTCCATCGGGCAGATGATACAGAAGCTTAAATACACGGACCAACGAATTCAAGAACAGCTTCTTCCTCGCTATCATTAGACTTCCAAATGGATGTTTCAAATTTCAAATTTAATGTTGACTTCACTCTTTGTGCATCTTCTCTGCAGCTATAATGTTGTATTTCTTGCCCTGTTCTATTACTCTTATGTACTTTGTATGGCATGATCTGCCTGTACTGCGCGCAAAACAAACTTTTTCACTGTACTTAGGTATATGTGACAATAAAAAAATCAAATAAAAAAATCAAAAAGGTACTCTGTGAATTTCAGTGTTTGTACAATACCAGCTACAAAAGGCTGCATAGCCCAATGAATGGCAGATCACAGAAAACAACATGTCCATCTGCTGTTCCCAACTGGCAGAGTACTGACTGTATTCAAACAGCTTATAAAACTCAGAACATAGTATCTAAAATTAGATGTGGACAGAACGAACTGAACAACCCAGAACACATTGAAAATTACACTTCCAACCAATTTGAGATTAAAGGTCAGGTTTGCAATACAGTTCACACTTGCTAGAAGCTATATACGTTGATATATAAAGATCAATGCTCACTAGGCAATGTTCTTTGAATTGCTTGAGAATTGCTCTTTTGTGTAACAAAACAAGAGTGTGGGGAACTATAGTTGCATTCTTCATGGCAATGCTTCATCCAATCAGTGCTGATTTACCAAATAATCCCATGCAATATAAATCGTGGCTTCCCCTGAAAAAGATATTCTTGTGCCTGCCCTGATAGAGCAAGATGAAAAGTAGCAACAACAGCAACATGTCTCCTTTTCAGCAGTGCTCAAATTATGTATCACAAGCAACTACTTTATAGCAGCTTGCACAATTCTTGACTGCAGTACTATATTGTGGCAGCGATGTTCTAATAGAATTAGGTGTTCGAGTGGCTGTTCTCTTCTGTGACACAACATTGGGATTTTTGTTGTCTTAATTGGCGCAGCAGCCAAAATGTCAGGGTGAGTTATTGCATACAGGTGATGGTGGGCCACAAAGTCCAGTTGGTCAACATGAAGAGGGGCTATACTCTCTGTAACTAAATGTGGGAAAATAGTGCAATTAGTTGCTGTCCAAAGGTTTAGATTCCAATATGAAAGCGATTTGTAAATTTTAAGCAAAATCCGTGGTTCCACTTTACAGTAATTTACCTTCCTCATTAGTTTCCTAAAGTTGCAGCATATGTGTTTCTGCACTAACATTGGGAAAGTGATCACATAAACTGCCTTTCTTTCCAGTGGATGTCTATTTACTACAGCTTAATTATACTGTCAGTCAATTGTGCTAAAGAACTTAATGAATTCAATATTGAAAATGATATATACATCAGTTTTTATTGGAGATCAATATTGTTAGACAGTGTTAGTTATTCATTGGACACAACTGAAAATTTATACCAATTGAGCATCAGTGTCATTTAAGAAAGTTACATACCATTGGATCATTTGTGCCTACCAAAGAAACTTATACAACAACAGACCATGTTTGGAAGCTGTGAGTGTTATTCACCAATGACTGCTAATAGGGTACTTCTAAACGCTATACCTACCGATCCACAATTACTGGAGACTTTTCAGATTCTCTTGCTATGATGGAGCCAGTAACGTAATTGCCCAATGCATAAAAAGCCCGTCGAATAAGAGGTGGCTTTGCATCAAATGTTTTTCTCAAGTGGCTAACGCAGTCTGGTGGGGACTTTAGAAGTGTTGCTTGGAGGGAGTCTCTTAAAGCTTCAGTCAATGTACTTTTGCCTATAGATAAATACGAAGGGCTAAAAGTTATGCCATAGTGCATTATAGAGTAGATCTTTTTCATTGTTCATTACTTCATTGTAAAGATAATCAAAGATTTTCATAGCACTAAGGGAGGAAAATATATAGGTTTGAACATTTTACTTACTCTTAATCTACTGATGAAATGGGTTATCTAGTGAACCATATAGGACAGAGGCCCCAAGTGAGATTGTCAATGTGATGTTATAGTTGGAATGGGATATCAGTCACTACAAGTGGCTAGAGAAAGAAAATAGACCAGCCAGGGTCCTCACTCTGTGTCCTAAAATATAATCCCAGAAAGGTCACATATGGATATGATGACACATATCTGGAGTAGGTGCGACTTGAACTCAGACCTCCTGGTCCAGCAGTAGAGACATTACCACTGTGCCACAAAAGCTCCTAATGTATTTGGGTGAGGAGTGAATGACATTTACCTATGATGCCTTCTGCCTCTGGTGAGGAGGCCTGGGTTCAAGTCCCAACTGCTCCAGAAGCATGTAATAACATCTCTGAACAGATTGATTCGAAAAAAAATACAGAAGAGACTCCTGAGTGAGGTTTCCTAACATAATTCAGTATCTTTTGAAGAAGAGTGGAAACCTTTTCTGGCCTCACCTGTACATTACGAGGAACTGAATGATCTGAAATGAAGACCATCTCATCTGCAATGTATTCAGGGTTTAACCAAACAAATAGCATGACAGGGCCCTCTTGTTGCACAGTGGTAGTGTCATTACCCCTGGACTAGGAGGCCATGGGTTTAAGTCCCACCTGCTCTAGCAGTGTGTAATAACATCTTAGAACAAGTTAACTACATAAATAGGTTAAATAAAAAAAAACGATGACTTGATTTACTTATTTGCTATTCTTAAGAAAGTTATTTAAATCTATTTTATTGATTTGATCACTCCACAACACTGTTAGGATAGTCAATGTCAGTCTGATGATATTTAAGACTTAAAATTTAGAAGGTTTAATTACACTAAATTAATGGAAGTAGCTCCTTAAATGGTTGACTGCCTGGTTTGCACATTGACTATAGTTTGGGATTTTAATACAATACTAATTAACAAACTGCTAGGCTGAATTCACAGCATATATCACAATAAGAATAAAGACATGGTACTCCAGTATTCCAGTTGAGTAGAACATATAAATCTCGATGATTCTTACCTGTTGCATCAAGTCCTTCTACCACAATTACTGGATGTAGGCCTTTTCTAGGAGTCCTGTCATACTGATCCGCCAATTCCAGAATTTCCTTGGCTTTGGGAATCGTTTCAACACACTTTGGTGAACAAAAATGCAAACACAATATTCAACTCAGGAAGAATTTCAGAATTGTCTGTAAATCATTGTTATTTTTCTCAACTTTTGGTATCTAAATGCTAATGCTTAACCCCATTAGCTGCTTTCAAAATGATGCCTAACATAAAAAGACACATTCAATCATTAAAAAAATTGTGCTTTTACCGCACCTTTTAAAGGAGCCCCTTGTCTTATGTTGGTGGAGTCCACAGTAACTCCTACTGCATTACACAGGGCCCACAAAGTTGACTGTGTGTCACTCTGCAAGCTACAGAAGTACTGAGACCCTGACCCTAACTTCCCAACCAGCCACCTGGCCATACCCATGGATTGATACTGGAGGCTGCCCTTGACTTACTGTACTGGGACCCTCCGGTTGAAGGGTGCCTCCCTGGACTTGACTGAGTCCCCTTAGACTTTGAAACATGGCCAATTGGTTGATGCTCACTCAGTGTACTTGCCACTTGTGCAGCAGGCACCTGGAGCAGGTGTGAGGTTGCTGTAGGGCTGTGGCATTCAGTACAATGTCCACCTCCTTAACTGATGACTGCTAACAAGCATGACAAGCTGCCTGGCTTTGTGTCTGCGCTAATCTCCAAGGCAAGAGAAAAGTACTGTAAATCTTTAAGGTGCAGCTGAGGGTTCAAAGCACTAAAACCAAAAACAAGAAAAGGCATAGCACAGCAATAGCAAGGAAGGACGCTGTGAGCATCAAGGTAGCATCCAGAACCCGAGCACTTGTCAGCTTGCAGCTCCAACAATTTACTCAGTATCAATTCTATGGTGATTGTGATAAAATAAAACAAAGAACTGGAGATGCTGAGGAATCTCAGCAGGTCTGGCAACATCTCTGGAGAAAAAGTGGAGTTAACGTTTTGAGACCAGTGACCCTCCTTCAGAACTGTCATGATTCTGTTTTCTTGAGTGTTTCTGGGATATTGATTCTATCCTCTATATGAACAACCAACGCAAAATACTTGTTCAACTTATGTTCCTTTCCTTATTTGGCATTATTAATACTCCATGGACTTTTCTTTTCAAAATATTTATTAAAATTCTGAATATTCTGTTCCTGTTATTATATTTCTGTCTAGGTTTCTCAGACCCTAATTTTCCCCTCTTTATTAATTTTTTAGTCATGCTTTCTTGTTTTTTGTATTCTGTCCAATCTTCTTATCTGCCACCTGTCCTTAAATAATTATATGCATTTTTATTTAAGATCGATACTGTTTTTATTATTTCCAGTTAACTGTGGTTGGTGGTTTGTCCCTCTGAATTTTTCTTACTCTTTGAAACATCACTATTCCGTATATTCTGAAATATCTCTTTAAATGTCTAGCACTGTATTTCTTTTGACATATGCTTCAGCCTAGTTTGCCAACTCACTTTAGCCAGCTCTGCTTCCATGCCTTAATTGTCCATATTTAAACTTTTAAAAGATATTCTCAGACCCACTCCTCTCTCCCTCAAACTGAATGTAAAATTCAAACATTTTATGGTCACTGATACCCAGCAGCACGTTCAGTAAGAGGTAATTAGTTAATCCTACTTCATTGCACAATACCAGGTCCAGTACAGCTTGCTGCCTGGTTGCCTCCAAAACACGCTGTTCTAAGAAACTAACTATGATGAAAATATTCCATGAACTCCTCAGTGAGGCTATCTTTGCCCATTTGACTTTTTTGGTCAACATGTAAATTAAAATTTCTCGTGATTTTTGCTATAACTTTCTGACAAACTCTTACATTTTCTTCCATTATGTTCCACCCTCCATGCAGTTGCTGTTAGCTGGTCTGTGCACTACTGCCACAAGTAACTTCTTGCCTTCATCAATTCTCATCTCTACCCAAACTGTTTTCATGTCCTGGGTTCCTAAAACTTAGGTCATCCCTTTCTGCTGTGCTTGTACCATCATTAACTAACAAAACCACCTTTCCACTTGTTCCTTGCTTCCTGTCCTTCTTAAAAATCCTATAGCCTTCAAGTTTCAGGTCCCAAACCATTCATCCACAGCCGTCTCTTGTATTGGCTACAAGTTCATACTTACTTATTTCTATCTGCACTCTCAGTTCATTCATTTGGTTTTGAATGCTATATGCATTCAGAAACAGAATGATTATTTTCATCCTTTAATTCTTTTTTATAAATTCTAGTCTTACATGTTGGTTAACTGCAAGATTTGTATTCTTTATCCCTTCCTATCATGGTCTGTTGATATGTTACCTTAATAATACTATTATCTTTGGCCTTGACTTCACTGTCTGATTTACCACATGTTCCCAAACTTGATCCCTTGCAATCCCACCCACTTTTTTGGTTTAAAATCCTCTCTACTTTCCTAATTATATGGTTGGAGGTGTAGGAGCAATGGAGGAGTGGACCGGGGGGAACACTCCCTCTGCAGCGCTGACAGTGGTGGATAACAAAAGGTATTTCTGCTGGGGGAGCTCTGCTGGAAGTGGCAGAAATTTGGGAACATGAGCCTTTGAATGCAAAGACTGGTAAGTGGAAAGTAAGAACAAGGGGAACACAGTCATTGTTCTGGGTGGAAGAGGAAGGGATGAGGGCAGAATTGAGGCAGAAATAGGTTGGGCCCTATCAACTAAGTTGATGACAAAGGAGATCATGTTAGAGGCACCCCATGGAAGGTGGTATCATCAAAGCAGATGAGATAGAGATGGAGAAACTGGTAGAATGGAATGAAATCATTGCAGGAAGCAGGCTGTAAGGAGGTGTAATATTGGTGGACAGCTTTTTCCCAGAAGTGGAAACAGCGAAATTGAGACAAGGAAGAGTTAGAGGTGAAATAGGTGAAGGTAAGAGAACTATTACACTATTACACTAATGGTGCGACCAGTGAGTCATGGGGCTTGATGATCAACACACTTCTTCTGTCACATTTGTAGCATTGTCTCTGTGTATGTGTCTGTCTGTGTGCATATGTATGTCTGTCTGTGGGCATGGGAATGTTTGTTTTTGTCTATGCATTTGTCTGCTTGTCTGTGTGCATGAGTGTCTGACCTTCTATTGATCTGCCTGTTTCTGTGTGTTCATGTTTGTGTGTCTACATCTGGGTGAGTGCAAAAGTCCTTGTGTGTATATACGTGTGTTTCTGAGAGAATAGGAGTGAGTGGGATCAAGTAATAGGCAGGCCAAATTAAAAACTGATGGGGATTTGCATTGGCACAGCTTTTAGCAGTTTTATCGTGTTTTGAGTTTTTATCATTTTATGGGATTTATGTACTTATTTTATGACTTTGGTTGATTTAATCGTTTTTATTGTTCTCATTTTCTCAAGCATATACAGTGGAAAGATTTCTGCAGTAAATGAAAATTAAAATAAATTTGGATATTATTTAAGTAAACAATTTCCTTGTGTTTTGTTTTAATGCATTGGGTTGCTGAACGTAGTCCACACCTGTGAGCACACTCCAGGCCTGTCAGTCCACTTTCTGAAGAAGGGTCCGGACCCGAAACACCAGCTTTCCTGCTTCTCTGATGCTGTCTGGCCTGCTGTGTTCATCCAGCTCCACACCTTGTTATCTGTGAGTCCACTTGATGCCTTTCCAACTTTGATGCTTTCAAGCATTTTTGGTTGCATTGGTATCAAATGACAACTTACTGCTGAGAATGTTTTCCAAATTGTAAAATTAGCAACATGTTCCAGTGTCCACCTGCATGGACTTGCCTTTGATCACAAAGTCAATGAGATTGGGGACAGCATGTTGCACATTGGCTGAATGAGGAGGGAATAGATGTGAAGTGGAATCAATCTGCATGAAATGAGTCAGGAAGACAAGTTTGGGATTTGACAATGTTTCCTGGCTTAATTACAATTGATGATGTGGAGGTGCCAATGTTGGGCTGGGGTGGACAAGGTCAGAAATCACACGACACTGGGTTATAGTCCAACAGGTTTATTTGAAAACACAAGCTTTTGGAGCGTAGCCCCGTCATCAGATGAATTACAATTTAGAAAGTAATGGAGTTGATTAGTCCCTGTGTCCTGGGACTTCATCCTGGAGCCTTAAAAGAGATGGTTAATGAAGCAGCAGATGCATTGTGACTAACTTTCCAAAATTCATTAAATTCTGGAAAGGTTTCATCAGACTAGAAAATAGCTAAGAAAACACACTATGTAAGAAGAGACGGAGGTGGAAAAATAGGCATCTGCAGGCCAGTGTTCTTGATTTCTGTCAAGGCAAAGTGTTAGAATCAATCATTGAGGAGATGATAACTCGGTACTTGAATGGGTCTTGTGGCACAGTGGTAGTGTTCCTACCTCTGGTCCTGATTCGAAGTCCCACCTGCTCCAGAGGTGTGCCATAACACATCTGAACAGATTGATTTCAAACATCCAATTGGTCACTTGGAAAACTCAAGGTGTTGTTTTGTGAAAGGAAAATCATCTTTCATCAGTTTATTGGAATTCTTTGAAGAAGTAAATGCACTATGGATAAGGAGGTGCCTATTGATCAACTGTACTTTGATTACCACAAGGCTTTTGACAAGGTTCTACATAAAAGAATTACTGAACAAAGTAGGAGCTCACAGAGTAGGGTAAACATATTAGCATGGATAGAAGATTGCCTGGGTTACAGAAAACAATGAGTATGCATAAACAGGTCTTTTTCAGATTGGTTGGACATGACAAGTGAGATTCCACAAGAGTCTGTGCTAGGCTTCAACTTTTTACAATGTGTATCAATAACTTAGATGAGAGGGTCAAGGCAATGGTAGCCAATTTTGAAAATTACTTGAAGATTGATAGGAAAGTACTTTACAAAGATGACATAACAAAGACGCAGGCTGATATAGATAGGTTAAGTGAGTGGGCAAATTCTGGCAAATGGAGCATAAGATGGGAAAATGTTTACTTTGGCAGGAAGAGAAAAAAGTAGAATATTACTTAAACAGAGAATGATTGCAGAATTCAAAGGTGCAGGTGTGGACATTCTAATGCATGAGTCACCAGAAGTTAGTATGCAGATACAGCAAGTATTAGGAAGGCTAATGGAATATTGTCCATTATTACAAGAGGAATTCAACATAAAAAGGATGTTAAATAAAAACCAAAAGAATTACAGATGCTGTAAATCAGGAACAAAAACAGAAGTTGCTGGAAAAGCTCAGCAGGTTGGGCAGCATCTGTGAAGAAAAAATCAGAGTTAACGTTTCGGGTCCAGTGACCCTTCCTTCTGAGGAACGTTAACTCTGATTTTTTCTTCACAAATGTTGCCAGACCTGCTGAGCTTTTCCAGCAACTTCTGTTTCTGTTCCATAAAATGGATGTTTATACTTCAGTTATGCAGGACATTGGCAAGATCATATGGTAAATACTGTATGCAGTTTTGATTTTGTTACTTAAGGAAGGGTGTAAAAGCATTGAAAATGGTCCAGAGGAGGTTCACAAGATTGGTATTGGAATAAGCAGGTTGTCTTTATCAGGAGGGGTTGGACAGGCATGGCTTGTTTTCACTGGTGTTCAGAAAAGCAAGGTGCAATCTGGTTGGAATTTATAACATCTTGAATGCTTTGACAAGGTAGTTGTGGAAAGAATGATTACCCTTGCTCAGAACAATGGGGACACTTAAAATCCGGATTTACCTCAGGACAGATAGAGGACTTTTTATTCTCTAAGGGTTGTGAGATTTTGGAATTCTCTGCCTCAGAAGATGGTACAGTCAGGATCATTGAAGATTTTTAAGGCGGAGGTGGGCTTCGCGCTGGGTAGGGAAGGCAAAGGTACGTGGGAATGTCATATTCAGAACACACGTGATCTTGCTGAATGATGGGGGGATCAAGGCATTATAGCCAAATTTGAAGACCATATGAAGATAGGTAGGAAAGTACATTGTGAAGGTGACATGACAAAAACGCAGACTGATATAGGTAGGTTAGGTGAGTGAGTAAATTCCAGCAAATGGAGCATAAGATGGGAAAATGTGAAGTTGTTCACTTTGAAAGGAAGAGAAAAAAGAATAGTATTGATTGGGTTGATGGGCTGAATGGCCTCCAGTGCTCCTAATTCATGTAGAGGCATATGCCTCTCATGTGACCAGTATACGGGTAGCGTCTGACTGTTCATCCGACGTACCTTTGTTGAATACAGCTCCCTTAAAAAAATCATGGGGGTGGGGCGGGGGAGAGAACTTCTGGCTTACCTCTTCCAAAACGCAGTAAGCATCTTCATACTTGAAGAATATAACCGAGTTTTTGATGTTGAGCACCGAGGGATGGAGGTCTGGTCTCGCAGCCAGAAAGAGACAGTTCCTGGAGATCTCTCTGTCCTGGCCATCAGTAAGGAGCCGGAGTCTCTGCCAGATTCTGCCATCACCGTCCCTGGTATAACTGCACAGACTGGTCTGCCCGCTCTCACGGACCAGATCCTGCAGGAGACGCTCCGTGCTCTCGTCACTGTGATTGTCCTGAACCAGAAATCCCTTGATCAGAGATCCCTGTTTGTTGGGCGAAAACGCCATCAGCTCCATAACGCGGCACCTCCGGGGCAGCCTGGTCAGTTCATTGCGCAGCTGGACATAGGACTCGGCGCCTTGGATCCTGTTCTCGGAGGCGATGCAAACAGAGTAGGTCTGACCGCGGCTGAGGACCTGGTGCAAACGGGAATTCTCGTCCCACGGCCCCTCCGAGGTTGGGGTCAGGGCGAAGTAAAGCGGCTCTGAGTTATTGCTGCACTCGATTGCAAAGACCCTCTTGGCCCATTCCCGGTAGAGCGCCGAGCCCAGTGTCTGAGCCATCTCGAAGCTGCAGCGAGCATTCATTGTGGTCTCGGTGACTCGGCGAGAGGCACGGCCTGAGTCCACTCCCTTCCCCCACCCCCCAGCGTTACTTCCTCGGATCGAGACTGAAACTAATGCCGCTGCGGAATCGAAACGCAGCTTTCAGCAAACAAAACATGACAAGTGAAAGCGAAGCCGAGAGCCCAGGGTTATCGCCAGGAAACGAAAGCCATCTCTTCCAACTCCTGCTTTCCAGAAACGGGGCGTGCTGCTTTCAACAACAAACCGTAAACAAAAACCCAAAACCTAGCAGTAAGCTCAGGACCATGGCTCGAAATTAGGTTCGTTCAGTTTCCCCAGGGATTTTTTGTTTACTCTCTCACTGCAAAGATGACTCCAAAAAGAAAGTCTAACGAGGAACATAAAGACGTGACAGGTGTAAATGTGGACACACTAGAGGTGGGGGCAGGAGCAGTTATGATGGAGAACAGGGAAACAGCAGAGGAACAAACTGTTACTTTGTGTGTTTGTGTGTGTGTCTTCACGGAAGATACCAGAAAATTTCCTGGAAACACCACTGCTTGTGAAACTGAGGAACTCGGACAAAATTAGTATTAGTACAGAGTCAGGAGAATTTAGCCAGGTTTAAATCTCTGAGACAAATGCCTGACTGATATATGTAAATGATTTGGATGTGAGAACCAATTGTAATATTTCTATATTTGCTGATGACACCCAACTAATGGGAATGTAAATTGTGAGGAGGGTGCAAGGAGATTACACGAGGACTTAGGCTAAGTGAATAAGTAAGAATATGGCTGATGGAATATAATGGGAATAAGTGTGAAGTTATTGACTTTGTTAGAAAATCAGAAAGACAGATTATAAATTCAGAATATAATATAGTGTAAGGTGGGGAAGTGTGAGAGTCTGGAAGGAACTGGATGTCCTTGTTCATGAGTTACTAAAGCTAGCATGCAAGTCCAGCAAGCAATTAGAAAGGCAGACATTATGTTGGTAAAAAAACAAAAGAACTGCTGATTCTGTAAATCAGGAAAAAAAACAGAAGTTGCTGGAAAAGCTCAGCAGGTCTGGCAGCATCTGTGAAGAAAAAAATCAGAGTTAACGTTTCGGGTCCGGTGACCCTTCCTCAGAACCGATGGTGGCTGGGAAAACGTCAGTTTATATGCAGAAAAAAGGGGGAGGGGGATGGGGTAGGGAGTAAATGATAGAATAGAGCCTAAAGAGAGAGAAGAGCAGTTGGACAGACATAGAGTTGATAATGATCAGGCTGGGAGGGTGAATAGTTGTTAATGGGGACTATTAGTGACTAATAACAGGTAGTGTGTAATGCCAGGCTATGTGCTAACAAGGCCTGGTGTCTGGGGTAGGGGGCTGGGACATGGGAGAGTTTAGGCCCTAAAATTATTGAACTTGCTATTGAGTCCGGAGGGCTGCAGGGTCCCTAAGCGGAAAATGAGATGTTGTTCTTTTAGCTTGCGTTGAGCTTCGCTGGAACACTGCAGCAAGCCAGAGACAGAGATAGTGGGAACTGCAGATGCTGGAGAATCTGAGATAACAAGGTGTAGAGCTGGATGAACACAGCAGACCAAGCAGCATCAT